TAGGGCCAGCGGGGAAACCCAGAATGTGGTCTGGCTTTATGTTGTATGCGTACTGTAATCCTTTTTGTTTCACCAGTTGAAAAGGTTTGCTCTTATTCTGTATCATCCCATGTCTTTGAATAGCTCTGGAAGGGCCTGGCAGGTGGTTTGTTTTGGTTTTTTTTAAGTATACTCCCCATTCTTCTTTATGCAGTTTCACTTCTTTTGCTCACATAGTTTGCGCTGACAGTGTTTTCAGCACTCCCTCCATCCATTCTCCATCCTCCTCTTGTCACCTCCTTCCTCAGCCTTTGAATAGGATATTGGAGAGCGATTCTGCTTACTGTTTGTATTGGCCTCAAGGGCAGGGATGATAGACCTTCGTTGAGTCCTTGGAACTGGAAGGAGATTTCTCTCTCAAGGCTATCTTGTTTAATAATGTCATGCTTACACATCTGTTGTTTCATTTATTCTGGATATGACCTGGTTACGTTTTATTTCAAAAAGAGTTTGGTATTGCAAGCCTTGGATTAATGAAAATGCTTCTAATACAGCTCTTCAGTGTTTTGCTGGTTTTTCTCTTCCCCATCTCCCAGCACTGCCTCACTTAGAATATAGAACTGGTAGGAGGCGTTTCCCCATTTTGCACGTTGCTAATGAAGAGAGTAGCTGTTGGGAATGGGTGAGGGAATGAACAACAGCATTATTATGGTTTGGCAAAAAGCTAGTTATCTAGATACGATGTGGTTTTATAATTATCACCGGATTAGCAACTTGCATGGTCCTGGAAGTGTGCTACTTGCAGGCTACCAAGGTTGAGGCTGCAGTATAAAGAATTACATCATTCCCATTTCTGATCGCCAGATGGGTGCTCACTTTGGAAAACAATATTACCTCAACTGCTTGATGTCTACATGAGTTACACTGTGGTTGTCCTGGAAGATCAGGCCTGAAGTAATGTGGTGATGGGTCCCTCTGAGCTCACAGCTTGGTCTTGCTGACAGGTTTTATGATGTAGAGGCATGACTGCATGTTGCAGTAATTAAGATTTCCTGATGCAACATTGTTCGCATCAGGAGGCTGGTGCTATTTTAACTATTCCAATATAGCATCTTGTAAAGCGTCTGCATTTCTGAACAGGTTGGTCTCTAAGGTGCCCCCCTGTCCTGCCTTTTGCTTCACTTCAGGTTAACATGGCCAACTACCGCTTCTTTCCCAATAGTTAAAGTTTGTGTGGACAAGGTCTTACAACACAGGTGTGCATACCATAGCATATCTGTGGATTAAACAGAATTGCCGCTTCCTGGGTTGTTTCTCTACCATCTCTTACAGACATGAAATTTTATCCAAAAAGTTATAGAAAGAAAAATCTCACCTGAGCATTTTAACTGCTGCTTAATGTACATGAAGTTTACAGTCACATAGAAATGTAGGGTGTGAAACACCCGCAAAATTGGTGTATTTAAGTCCATACATAATATGACTAATCTTAATGGGCCTTCTTCCGGTTTCCCACGTACTTAAACCTAAACTTTGGGTCTGAACCAGTTAATTATGTATCTTTGCACTGGGAAGTCTATTTCCCAGACAAATAGCATAGACCTGGCTCGTTCCCTTTCGCCTCTGGAAACAGGATGTAAGGTCCGTTGCGGAAAACTGAAATTCTTTTTTTCAGGGGTCAGGTGTAGCTGTTTTAAAAGGCAGTCTCGATTATGACCATAATTCATACAAATTCTTTACATCTCCTGTAACTTATCATTTGAGCTGTTGTAAACTTGAGCGCACGTTAAATGCAAATTAAAACCCGGTCAATCTGTTATTGAATTCTGTCTAGTTCTGTTTATGTTCTGTTTTTTCTTCATGACGTTGCTATAGAACTTGGCATCGGTTCCAAAAGAAAAATCTGTTTTAAGTTATGCTGATATTGTATCCTGTCTCATATAGTTAATTGTGATATAGTCTGCTAGATGCAAAGAAGTACGAGTCCGTTTAGCTTTTGTGATGAACCAACCGCAGAACCCTTAGATGCTCAGATCCCCCAACAGACGTTTCTGAGACTAGAGAAATAAAAAGACTCTTACTTCTTCACCTCTAGCCTGTGTGCTGCTAATTAGAGAAGGAGATTTTAAAATTACCGGTAGCTAAAATACCTATACGAACTGCAAAGAAACTGTTCTGTTCGCACCTTAGTCAGATGTATGTCTTCAGCTGTACAAGCACTGAAGCATACAGTTTATGCAACGGGAATAGGAAATTGTGCTAGATTCAGAAGCATTGGAATTACCCAATTAGTAATTGTTGTTGCCTCCTGTCAAGAATGGCTTCTCTAGTTGTACGTTAGTGGTGTTAAGTTCAGAGGGCTCCCTCTTGGCCACAGTGGCATGCAGACTTGCTGTATGTAGGTGAGGTGCTTTTCTGTGCCTGACCGTACTTCCTACAGTTCGTCATTTTAGAATTGCAGAAAATGAGGTTTGGAAGGGACCTCAGGAGGTCACGTCTAGTCCAACCCTGCTCAAAGCAGGACCAGCCCCACCTACCGCATCCCAGCATTAAGGCTTTGTCTAGCCGGGCCTTAAAGACCTCTGAGGATGGAGAGTCCACCACCTCTCCGGATAGCCTGTCCCAGTGCTGTACTACCCGCCTAGTGAGACAATTTTTCCTAATGTTTAACCTAAATTTCCTTTGCCGCAACGTGAGCCCATTGCTCCTTGTTCTAGCGTCTGCCACCACTGAGAACAGTCCTGCTCCGTCCTCTTTCGAACCCCGCTTCAGGTAGTTGAAGGCTGCTATTAAACCCCCTCAGTCTTCTCTTCTCCACACTAAATAATCCCAGTTCCCCCAGTCTTTCCTCACAAGTCCTGTCCCCCAGCGCTCTAACCATTTTCACTGCCCTCCCCTGGTCTCTCTCCATTTTGTCTACATCCTTTCTGTAGTGGGGGGCCAAAACTGGACACAGGACTCCAGATGTGGCCTCATCAGTGCTGAGTAGAGGGGAATAATCAGCTCCCTTGACCTGCTGGCAGCACACCTACCAATGCAGCCCAGGATGCTGTTAGCCTTCTTGGCTACAAGGGCACACTGCTGGCTCATAGTGTAGATGTCATTTAATGAGATACCGTCTCTTAAAAGCAGCATTTCTAAGAAGGATTCAGTTTGTTTCAGCAGTAGACAGCGTGCTCTGTTCCTGGTCTTCATCGCCTTTCATCCCCCTCAGAGGGCTTTCTATTGGATCAGTAAATTATCTGGCCAGGATCTGAACAGATCCTATCTATGCTGCCCGTGCCATGGCACCTTGGTGGAGAATCACTGATTTATAGTTTTAATTGCTTTTACATTTGGGTAAGGAGAATGGTTGCTTTCAGTGTTTGAATCCCCTTAATTCAGGAGAGGCTTTTGTTTTTATCTGCTTATGTCTGGCCTTGTAATTGTCTTGGTTGGTCCCAGACTCTTCTTTCTTAATTTGGGCTTTCAGAATTAAGAGGTTGGGGGGCAGGGAGATGAGGATCATTTCCTTTTGATTCCCTCTTACTACATTTAGCTTGTATGTACTCACCTTAATTATAAAATTTTTGTTTTTATCAATGCAGAAACTAGTCTGCTAAGTTCCAAATCACTCTGTCCCCAAACCCAAGGATAGCATGTTTTAAATGCAGTACTTCAAAATACAATGGAATAGCATTGTGGTTTTAAATGGTATTAAATCCTTACGTTGCTTAACTAGAAGGATGGGTGCAAGGCTTTGTGACTTTCTTGCCTATTTCTGGTGCTTGCTTTATGTCTTTCAGTGTCTGTGGGGATTTTAATTTCTATTGTGTAGTTAAAAAGCACTCGTGGCGTGGAATTATTTTTTTGAACCTCCTGGCTACCATATGGGATCTGTCTCAGGAATCAAAGCCACAAAATGTATGCAGTTTATAAATCAGTTAAAAGGAGGAAGAATTGTTTGATCATTTGTAGTTGACTGATTAGATCGGTGGTTTTCAATCGGGGTGTCACGAGCCCCCTCAAGGTATGCGCCATGTGCACGTCTGCTGCTTCAGTGCTGTGGTCAGCCTAAAGCAGGCAGGAGCTGGGTGGCTTTAGCCTTCCCAGTCTGGACCCTCCCACGCTCCTCCCAGAAACAGGCATGCGGGATATTCTACCCGAACATCTCTGTGTCTGGGAGGATGATCAAGGGGGCCAGACTGGGGAGGGCTGCAGAGTACGAGGCAGATCCTGTCTGCTTTAGGCTGATCACTGCCCTAATGCAGTAAGTAGTCTCGTGTGCATGTACCATGGCCAATCCAGGCTGGTGCTACAGCAGACGTACAGGGCAACTTTATGTGGAGGCAGCATAACCCACTTGAGAAACACTGAGGTAAGCTGAGGCAGCAACAGTAATGCTGCCACATTCCCATAAGTGGTGGAGGGGGGTACCCTTCCTTGACAACTTTGAGAACCATTGGATTAGATCCAAGTATGACAACCAGAGTATCAGACCTGAAGTCTGCTTGCGATGTAATGTTTCCTGCATTGGTAGCGGTCTTGCGTGCATTTGTGATTTTCTTTGGTGTACTTATGCTCAGTCTCACGGGAAATTTCTCAAAAATGATATTGAGCACTCACTTTTAATGCAGCTGAGTTATGCTACTGGGGTGCCTTTTTTGTTTTCCTGTTCACAAAGACTTTAGTCCCTTTCCTCTGTCCATGGAACAAGCACGGTCTAGGAGAAATGTTACAAGTTTCTGCAGGGCGTCATGTCAGTGTGCTTTAGCCCTAACCTGGGCCCTTTCTAGGAGTGTTAGTTCAGTCTCTGTTTCCATCCAGTCCTTGGCCACTCCAGTAAAGGTGCCATCAGAGACTATTTACTGGACTCTAAAACTAGCCAAAATATGTAGAATAGTGCTCCTTACTTGTGTAATTGATATTATTATGCCACTTGTATTTGAACTCGGTGCTTGATGCATGTATGCCATTAACTCAGGATTTTCTTGCTTGTGTTGGCATTTACATAATTTTATTTCTTTTTTTTTCCTTTTCAGTTTCATAGGAGAATTTATAAAGGAATCCCACTACAGCTCAGAGGTCAAGTCTGGTCTTTACTACTTGATGTTCCTAAAATGAAAGAAGAAATGAAAGATTTTTATAATGTGAGTCTGTAAAATTCTTCTGTAGAATTAAGAATGGTAAGCTCTCAAGTACTGGGAAATAAGAAACATTGAGCAACAGGATTAATGGAACTAATATTTAACTGTATTTTCCTTTCTGTCGTGGAAGAAAAGCCTTGCAATTTACTGGCCTGACATTTGACCAACTTGTGTTGTGGTTTTGTAGTTCATGTAATTGATCTGATTCCACCTCTGCCCCTTCCCTCAGAGAACACGTCAGACTCTAAGTGCAGGTCTACAGTGAAAAATGACTGTATAGAAGTAGCACCATCTTACTCTGAGAGGAAATTCAGGAGTTTGTTCTTGGAGTCCTGTCTATTTAATTAGAAAAAAATGCAAGTTTCAGGTTTAGTGAGCAGAGTGGAAGAAAGTGAAGTCCAGTGATATCATTTTGTCCACATGCACAAGGTGGTCCAGTTTCTTTTGAACTGCTTTAGAAACAAGAATTGAGTCAAACCTGTGCAGACTATTACCTACACTCTTGCATTGCATTAATTTGTGTAAATTTAGAGTGGTACAAGATATAAGCCAAATTTAAATCAGTTGGAGAGGGTGCACAGATGAATTTAGACAAATTTAACTAGATGGGTATAAAACCACGCCGTTGGTATTGAGTTGGGCCTGAAAGTGTCTAGTGTATAGCAGCTCTGAAGGTATGATGTCTGATCAGTAGTAGCTTTGCTGCCAACACTTTGCCTTCTTCCATGGGGAAGGAGTCTGTGTTGCATAGTGAAACTCTGCCAAGGAGGAACTTTTTCTCTAGCTTGCATGATGCAACAAAAGGCCTAGTGCTGGGGGAGTGCTGAAACAGGGAAGGTGGTGGTCTGACTAGGCTTCACCTTCCATCCTACTCCTCCCTTAGGCCCCAAGTCTTATGTATACTCTCCCTGTCAAGATGTACAAGCCAGTTTAGAATGGCTTAAACCAGTAGGAGCCAACCTTTTTGGCCAGCATGCCATAAATTAGTCTTGTACCCTCCGTGAATACCACTTTGATCTCTTCCTCTGCCCACTCTGCTGCTCTGCTTCCTGTTCTCTATTCTGTGCTCCCTATATGCACTCCTACTCTGTTTTCTGCTTCCTGCCCGGTTTGCTGCTGGCCTCTCCCTGATCCGTCATGCCATACATAGACTGCCTGTGCCACTTCTGGCATGTGTGCTGCAGATTAGCCAGCCCCTGATTTAAACAGTTTAAGTGGTGCAGCTTGAAGAAGGATACCTGAAAGCTTACTTATGTCTGTCCCACCCATGCAGTTGGTCCAGTAAAAGATATCACCCCCAAGAATTCTTGTCTGAAACCTCAGAAGTATACCTGGTATTAGTGAGGTATTCTTTTGAACCAGTTCACTATTATGTGTGGAAAGCAAACTTTTGTGTCTGGTTAGTTCTCCAGGAATCGCACCCTGTGTCGCTCCTCAACAACCTCCTCCCCTCGCCCCAGGTTTCCCACCCCTGCATGGCAGCTGGCTGCTCTGGTGCACAGACAGGACTCTCCTGCCCCAACCTCTGTTGCCTGCTCTTGACCACAGACTTTAGCATCCAAGGCTGATTTGGGATGGGAGGCAAGGGTGGAGGGGGTAAGTCACATGGGGAGGATGCGTCTGGGTTTTCCAGGGTTTCTGGTTCATGCTCTGGCTTTAAAAGGACTTTACCTATAAAGTTGCTCAATTATTTCCATTGCCTGTGACTGACCCCGGGCCACTTGGGCACTGTTTAGGTTCAGTAGGCTCTAGATTTAGGTCTTCCGTGACTCCGACATTGGGGCTGGATTGAACATCAGGTTTGTTTTTTTTTAATGTTCTCTGCTTTCCCCCTTTCCCCATAGGCTTTCAAAGTGCTTTGTGAACATGCTGGACTGGCTGTCTGATTGGCAGGAGCCCCATACCCATGGAGCTCTTGGGCCAGCAGATTTGGCTTTGCAGTACTCTGTGCCCCTGTGAAGCAGAAGCAATTGAGTCGCAGTCCGCAGGCTAATTTGGGAGAGTGGTGTGAGGGGGGTATACCTGCCTACCTACTGATCTCACAATAGGGGGCATGAACTGAAATTAATTAAGCAGCTTTCTAGGGAAAGTTTTTGTTTTTTTTTTAAATCCTCATCCTGAGACAGGCATTGGGTAGCCCCTAGAATATGCAGCCCTGCAGGAATGCAAAAGCATTAGTCCGCGTGATACCCCTCATCCCATCTCCCTGTTCAGCCAATGGGGGTCTTTCTCCCCCACTAGGGAAATCCTGGGGAAAGTTTAGCCATGTGCCACTGCAAGGTGTGCTGCGCTCCCACTCCATGGTTCAGCAGCTCTGCAATGCCTAAAAAGGGGACTGTTCAACTTAGACCCCTTAGCAGCGTACATGCAGACATCTGAACTGTGTCAGATGGGAACTGGTTTAGTTGTTATGCGTGCCCACACCTTGCCTGAGTCTACTTGGGGCTTGGGAATGTTAGAACTTGGCTCTGAGCATAAGTATTAGTGGCTGTTGGTGCTGCGAGGTGCCTAGTGTACATTGTGCCTCTTCCCAAGCGTAAATTCTGTAGTAGGTGGATGTGGGCATGCACCTTTATAGCATTTGTTGTATCCATGGGCAGGCTGGGTTATGAAAATGGTTCGCTCTTAAGACACTTTTCCATAGTAAGCGGTTTAACCTGAGAAGTTCCAAGTTGTTTAATTCAGCAGCAAACCAAGTGGCTGCAAACAGGTTCTTTTCTCTGTGTTAAATGTTTTCATTTTTAACTGAAGTTAGTCTTTATTGCGGTTTCTCTTAGAAATTGAAATATCGAGCACGAGGGTCTTCACCGGATATCAGACAGATTGATCTTGATGTAAACCGGACATACAGAGATCATATCATGTTTAGAGACAGATATGGTGTTAAGTAAGTACATCAAAATACTTTAAATTCAGTTATTTGTTGTTTGTCTTTCAAATAGAATTTGACTGGTCTCAGACTCCTCTGACCTACCCAGGAATTGTGACAGAGCTTTGAATTAAAATATGCAGATATCAGAAACTACAGTGCATAACTTTACTGGGGGGTTTTACTTCTCCACATTTCAAAAACAGGTATTCGACTAGCAACCATTTGGCTTTATCTCTTTAAGATGCAAGGCTTGGGGACTGAAAAACAAGAAAAAGAAATTTTAGATTATTTTCAGCCTTATGCATTGACCCTGTTTTTTAAATGTCATCTTGTTCAAAATCAAGAATTTCGTAAAGCAGATCCAAAGTGTGTGGAAATACTGAGTTAACTGAGTTATTTATTAAATTATTTTTTTTTATCCTCATGGGAAAATAGTTAAATATATTAAGATTTTATACCACCCACCCTTATTTAGAAAAACAAAACACAATTATTACTTCTCTAACACTTTACATTTCCTGCAGGAGTTTTACCTATTTAGTAATGAAATAATTGACTGTATCAGTGTCAACACTGTCAGTTTTTGCATCAATACCCTCTTGTGATGAGTGGGGCACATTTCGTCTCTCAGTAAGTGGCTCAGTAATATTTTCCCCAAAGTCTCTGGAAGACGACAATGCATTGATCTGTTTTCCAAAGGTTATATTTAGTCAGAACAGCTACGAATTTGAATATATGATAGTTTTATTGTTCATATGTTGTACTCGGTATGCAGAAAATAGCTAGTTCCTTTGAGAACTTTGAGTCTGAATGAAAACTTGAAATTTTGTAGAAAACTGGACAGCCATATCTTTGGTAGAGCATAGTGTGCATCTCTACGAGTACTTGGGGAAAGGATTGTACCAAAATATCTTAATTCAATTAAGTTGTTTTTTTCCCCCTGAAACTAAATTGTTTGTTTTGCAACATTCTGTACTCTTCTGAATGTTCATCCTGTTTTATGATGAAGTGCTAGTGGTAGCATTTTAAGTAAATAGCATAAAATTGTTACGTTATTGGAAACAACCTGATGATAAACAATAATAGTGGTATTTTGCCCCTTCCATTTAGTTTTCACTTTATACTCCAGTCTTTTCTCTGCTATATATGCAAAAAACCTGCAAAATTAATTGAAGACTCATTATTATTTCTGACTATCGCCTGGCTTCTAAATGCCAGGCAAGAAATAATCAGAAAACCTCCAAACAAGGTGCACTTCATTATTTTGTTTGACTTCTGTACCTGAAAACCCCCCCCGAAAAGTTTTTAATCTGTGTGCTAGGCCTAAGTTTAAAAAGCATATTCAGTATTTCACCACTAAGACAGCTTCTATAACAAAACTGTATGATTATTTTGTTTGTGCGTATGCTGAAAGTCTGAGGGAGAAAAGAGTGAAGGAAACCTTGTGCATTTTGTATGGAAAATAATAGTGTATATCTGTCTGCAAGCAAGCAGACCGAACCTCACACTACAAAGACCAGTTTTATGTTTAATCAAAGATGCCTTTATATCCAGCTCAATCCCATTCCTTTCATCCTGGGAAACATGCAACCAAGATTTTTTTCTAAACTAATCTATTAATTTAATTTTCATCAGGCTGGCATGTGAAACTATAATGTTTTGTCCATACATTAACATTAAATCTTGAGAGGAAGCTGAATGTTCTTCTTTGTTTTAAAATTCTTACACCGAGTTAATGAAATATGATGCAGCATTTAAAAATGCAGAATACAATCTGTGTATAAAGCCTTCATACATATGAATGGAGCTTCTGCCCACCTCTCTATCTGCCAGGGCAGATTTTCTTAAACTGTCCTTTCTTTTCCTTGTAAGGTAGGTCAGTGCTGGATAAAAAATGAGAGGTGAAGTTAAAAGCAGGTTGTTTTTTTTAGAGGAATATTTTATAGCATGGTTTAATCAGCCAGTGCAATTAAAAACTAAATAAAATAAAAAGCAGAAATTTTCCTTCTAGTGAAATAAGACTCAAGTTTTTAATGTCTAGTAACACAATAATTTTAACATTTATGCAACAGCAGACATTGAAACCCAAGTTTTGACAGTGAGACTGTGTTTTCCAAGCCTTTGAAATGAGACCAATTAAACTGGAGGTTCTGATCCAGAAAATGAATTGGTATCTTCATTTTTTTTTGTTTCAAACTCAATATTAAACGCTTTTCTTTTTTTCTTGTTACTCCAGGCAACAGGCATTATTCCATGTTTTAGCAGCATATTCTATATATAACACGGTAAGTCTTCTTGCATATATGCTTAAGATTAAACATAGTTTCTTTAAATAGGCTACAAAAATTACTGAAACCAAACCTCGGTATACATAAAAGTCTGAAGTGCTGCCAGTTTAGCCTGACTGTCTCGTGGCTACCTGGAGTTCCTACCCAGTCTAAGCATTTCTCCTTGATGATCAAGGATACAACACAAGTGAAGGGCTTGGTTTTTGGGACTTGTCTACTTTGTGGGAGCTCTAAGTTATGTGGGACCACTAGCTACTGCCAGTATCTCACTCTGAGATTGTCTGATAAAAACAGTATCTAACAATGTTAGTAGTCCATTTTAGAAAACCAGTGTGAACCGAATTTGAGGAGATGTGGGTGCTCACAAAGTAATTCTTGAACAGTTCAATCTGTGGAAGAAAAGTGGGCCGTCATTTCCTGCATCTTTCTGGGGAGAAAGCAAGTATATTTTGCTAAGCAGTGACAGAGAGGTAAGCAGCAACACAAAAAGAGAAAAGACAAAGTTAGTGGTGGCGTAAGGCGTGGAGGAGGGGGAAAGAGAGCTAGCCAGACTCTATTTGTAGGATGGTGCTCTTCATAGGGAAAAACTGGCAGCTAATTAATATTCTGTGCTTCTATGCCACCCGTCTTCTAGGGGCCACAGTGCTTTACAACCAGCAATGTCTCCTATTAAAGCTGAGAGGTACATAAATACACCACAGAAACCTGAGTGATTTGACCCTGATTCAGGAGTGCATTCAAACATTTGTTTAAGTCCACCCTGGCATTTAAACCTTTGAAATGCTGAATATGAGGATGCTTTCCTAAATTTGGTTGTTAGACTTCATGTTAGCTCTTAGAAATTTCCTTCTTGTAGAGCATTTAAGATACTTATTGAAAGCGTACGTGATGTAAATGTTGTCATTGTACCCATGTCTAAACATGTACACGATGGTTCATTCAGCAAGTGCTTTTATACATGTGTTCATAGGTGATAAGCAGGGATCCTGGTTTTCTTGGTTTAAACATTGCAAATTCTCTGATAAAAAATGGCAAATTCTCTGATTAACAACTCAGATCTGCGTTTTTCCACAATTAAAATGAAATGCTACTCTATATTTAGGTATCAGTTGAACACAACGTTTTATTGATATATTTATAGTTTTAAAGCAATTAGGAAGCCTACCAGTGCCTCAATCACTATAATACAATAAATGTAAATACCTATAAATGTTGGCATTTGATTTGGGGTTTTTTATCATGGAAAAGTAGAGCTCCCTCTGCCCCCCTTCACTCATCAGGATGCGGGTGCAGCTGTGGCTGTCCCCTCCCAATGCTTTGTGGCACTGAGCAGCCCTGATGTGCCGGCGTTTTGCCCGTGCCATTGCCCCTCGCTCCCAAGCCACAGCCCGCCAGCCCTGCTGGTGCCCTCACTATGCACAGTTCTCTGGCCCTGCTGGTGCCTCTCAATTTGACCCACAGCCTCTGCTGCCCCAAGCCATGCTGGAGGGGCCCCCAGCTGCCAGGGCTATGGGACCAGGAACCCAGGCCTACAGTCTTCTGCTACTCCCCAGCAGCTCCCGAGCCCCGGCTGCTGCCAGTGGACTGGAGTGTGGAGCCCAGCACTGCTGGAGCAGAGCCTGTGAGAAAATCCACATTTACCATGCTTTTCCATGGCAAACTGAAAACCCGGATGCCTGGTGATAAGCTGTATTAGTCTGAAGTCAGGTAGAAGGTAGGGCAGGGTGGTACTTTGGAGACTAACTGGTTCAGAATGGTATGATGGCCTTACTACATAAAAGTACAAAATTAAAACAAAGAACAAAATTACATATCTGTTCTGGGTTTACGCCCATGTATTTATTAAAAAATGTTTATCTGTAGAAGTATCTAATGTAGAAATATATTGTACTAGTGACAGGGTGCTGAGGCAGGGGCCAGGCTACAATTACTGCCCTGATCCTGGGTTGGAGGCTGGAGTCCAAGGCGTAGCAGACACCTTCTTTCTCCCCCATCCCCCCCATTGCTCCCTCCAGTGGTCTTGTACTCAATTCTAAGATGAGGCATTTCCCTCCCATGTTAAATGAAGAGGAAAACCCTTGTCTTAAAATTGAATAAATACGGTTGGAGTGTGTGCATGTATATACAATTTTTTACACTTATCACATGCATGATGATTTTCTTGCTGTTACTGTTTTTACTGTCTAATTTTCAGGAGGTTGGATACTGTCAGGGAATGAGCCAGATCACAGCTTTACTCCTTATGTATATGAATGAAGAAGATGCCTTCTGGGCCCTGGTGAAGTTGCTTTCGGGTCCTAAGCACGCTATGCATGGTACGGAACTCTAGCTCACATCGCACAAATTACATTTAAACTTATCCTCATAATACTGTGAATTCTTTGAGACTGAGATCCTGTCTACTTGTGTGGCTTAATGTCTAACCCAGTGAGGCCTTTTTCTGAATTGGGACTATGATGTATTACATCAATATAAATAATATTTATTAATTTCTTAATCAATTTGGTTAAGGCTTATCTATAGTTATATGTGATAGTTTTTGTAGATTTGTGTTCTCCAAATTAGACCATTTCTTTTCTTTCAAATTATTTTTTGTCTTTTTCAAAGACTAAGCTCTTTTTTCTTTTCTGGTTTTGACATTATGAATTAGGGAATTGTAATTATTTATAACGTTCCCTTAGAATTGTCAGGTTTTGTGTCTTTGTATGTGCTGTGTCTCTTCAGCTATAAATGTTATTGATTTGGTCTGTAAAGTGCTACTTTATCAGAAGCATTTAAAATGCAGTTACATTTATTATTTGAACACAAATGCAGCACTTACAGGTATTTATTCTAAGGACTATGTTTCTGGACTTCATTAATGGTATTAATGGAAACTACTCTGGTTATCTTTGGCTTGCTGGATTGAAAGCTGGTTATATAGACATTTATACAGCAGTGGTAGTAATAATGAAAACAAAACATAAACTCCCCCCTCCAAAAAAAAATTCCCTCCCAAAAACACACAAAAAACTGTTGTGGCTGTGGTACCAATTGGCCAGACAGAAAAATCTAAAGTTAAAATTGACCTTATGTCTAGGCTTAACTTGTGAGTTTTTTGGCTTTATCTTTGGCTCTCAAATTTCCTGGTTCCGAACATTTTGTTACTTTCATTATTATTGTGGCCTTTATCTTTTAAACATCAGTATTTTTATGCATCCTGTACCCACAAGTTCCAGTTGCTTGAGCTTCTTTTATAGTAAATAAGTGATTTAGAAATCCTTAGCTCTTGCAAGCCTGTGAAAGTAAAGTCAAATTGTTCTGGTTGCTGCATGGCTCCTCTCTCTTGTGACTTTGAAATATACCCAAGCTTTCTTCCTTGCAGCATGAATTGCTAGGTGGCAATCATCTACATCGCATCTCCACCAAAACAAAAACTTTGTGAAGGTAAAGGGTTGTATCTGAGATGGAGCAAGGCCTTTCCTGCCATAGCTTGGGGGCTGCTTGGGGGTGGAGGGATCAGCTCTGCAGGGTGTCAAGCTCTGCTGAGGGTGGTGGTGACAGCCACAGGTGGGTTCCCCTTCCTGTGCATGCTCCCTGTTCCAGACCCCAGGTGTCTCCTGCCAGTTCAGGAGCAAGTGCAAGAGGGAGGAACAAGCTGGGGTTGGTGTGTGGAAGCTACCCTCTTCTGCAGTGCACAGTCAGGTGTGCAGGTCATGATGCAGAGGAGATGTGGATCCAGTTGTGCTGTAACCTCAAGCTAAAGCAGGAGCCCAGAGCAGTGGCTTGGGGGATAGTCTGACTGGGCTGGTGAGATGCTGTGGGCCATACATGGTAGGCAAGACCCACTTCTCTGTAGGTGCATAGGGCAGCTTGTGGGGACATCCTGGCTGGTGATGTGGTTCTGCTGAGGGCTGTGGTCTCTGGCATGGCTCATGCTCAAGTGTAGGGTGGGTTGCAGGTGTTCTTAGGGGTGGCAGCATTGCCCATGACATCAGTGAAATACTTCCCAGGCAGGGCCAGTCCTGGAAGGGTAGGGAGTCCCTTGTCCTTGCATTTTGAGCCAAGCTTTCAGTGACTCCATGCTCTTGCCCAGCTACTGCTGATCCCTAACCCTGGGCAGGGATTCGCTGCAGCCTGTGAGGGGTAGAGGACCTCACGCACCCTGAGTACACATGCACAGCTTTCCTTGAAAAATAGCTTGGCATGGGAAATGGGGGACCTGCTTCTCTCCCCCATTCTCCAGCTGAGCTTAGTGCCCTATGCAGCTATTCCCCACAGCCCTTGGCTCCCCCCATCCCTGGGTCAGCCAGAGGCAGTGATAACAACAGGTAGGTCTCCTTCTCTTTTCTCCAGAGGCATAATTAACAGGGTCCGTGCCTTAGGCACAGGTGGAGGAAGCAGGGAGGAGAGGAGTGGTGCCACTGAGCATCAGTGGGGAAGGGTGTCGAGAGCATGGTTTGGAGCAATCTGACCTGCCTTGGGGACTCAAAGTCCTTTGCTGCTACTGCACCATGGTCCTCACTGCCTCTTCCTATTCCCTCCATTTGTGTAAACTGAAAAATAAATGAAATGTGTTAAAATTAAATCCAGTTAAGATATTCTCCCCTAGGCCAAGTTTGTCACTTAACCAGTTCCAACTTGGTACAGAAATTTTCTCATAAGGGTAGACAAAAGCTGCTTGATAAAATACTACTTAGTAGTTGTCAGCTGGAAAATGCTAAGTGCTTTAAAAGTAAGCTTCACAATGCCCTAGGGAGGAGGTATGTGCTTAATAATGTGCTACCATAGTCTTAATTTATTTGTTGAGTGACCGCAGTCTTCTAGATGATCAAGTGCTCTGCTTTCATTTTGGTATAGATGCTTTAAATCAGTTTATAGAAAGATAAATGCTACTGGAGATTCCGAATGTTATATATTTCTAGATATCGATATATATGCAAGTTGCTATTTGCACTTATTCTCTGGAAAAGTAGCTTTAAACTCTTACATTTCAAACCTAAACTATGTTGGGCCCAAATTATTGACGTGCATGAGTTTAAGTGAAATCGTGGGGATAACAGAGAATCATAAAGTTGGAAGGGACCTTGAGGATCATCTTCTCCAATTCCCTGCATAGATTCTGGGTGCACTATTCATAAACCATCAGAGAAGAACATCTATGTATCCTCTTTTGGGAAACCTCTGATGAAAGATTCCTCAACTCTGAAAGTCTCTCTTCTCATGCTTAATATGAGTTATTGCATTGCACTCTTAAATAAATGGTTGTCTACAGGACTGATAGTGATAGTGGGAAACTTCAGTTACAAAGCGGTGCTGCCAAGAGTAGGAGAGTTGAAGTTCCTCCTTATAAACAAAGCACTTTCATCTCTGTCTCATTTGTCATCCACCTGTCACCTGGGACTCAGACTTTTTTTCGGTGCAGCCAAGTATGTCTCAGCCTACCCAGCCAGACTAATCCCTAGTATAACTCTGCTGAAATCAAGGGATGAACAGCAGCCTTAATGTTTTATGTATGACACGAAGTCTCTAAATCATAAAATATAGGTATCTGACCCTGAAAATGATTCAGATTTTTGAAAGCTATTTCCTTCAGGATTTTCATAATCTTACAGATTGAAGATAATGAATTAGTGTTCATGAATGGAAAGAGCAACTGTACCTTTGAACATTATTAATGATGCATAATTAGCTTTGAAGTATTCATTCGGAGTTTATGTAAAGGGAAAAAAAAACCTTGCCTAGCCAAGTGAAATTAAATTAATATGCTAGCAGACATTTCTTTATTCATGGGATAGAGGAATCATAATTTTGATGAACATTTTGTGGCATGCTGCACCCATCTCATTCTGGAATATCAGCCCTTCCTGCTAAGTGGCTGTGAATATTGCACTGAATTATTGAACTGGAGCCTGGACAGAAGTCATTTTTGAGTTTTAAAGTTTGATTCTATTCCGAATAGAGACTCTTAACAGAATATTTAGAAGGCCCATATGTCTCCAATCACCTACTTGGTTTACTCCTTCTCTGCCCGCAGTGCAAACTCAGCTAAGGCAGGAAAACTGGGTGCCTTTGTTTTCATACATAATATCTGTACAGATTCATGCCTCTTTGCTTTCTATGGTACTTGGCCTGAATAGGGGAACCTTCCCTACCTTCTCTAATGTAACTGCTCGAGCAGCTGTCTGCATCTTTTGTGACCCGAAGGGCAAATTTGCTAAGTAAGAAGGTACCTCTCTATGGTCATTTTTCAGAGCAAAACAATGGTGTGATTTTAACCATGGTGTCTTGGAGAGTAAACTAAACTTATTTTGGCATAAATGTGCCAAAAGCTACCATGTAAATTATTTTGATTCTTACTTTTTTGAGTATCTAGACTTAAACCCAACATGTTAACACTATGAATACATTTTAGGTGGATGTTTGTGGAACATATCCCTGTTGAGGTGTGTATGTGTGTGTTTTATTTTTTCCCCCTTAGGCTTTTTTGTTCCTGGCTTTCCGAAACTGTTGCGGTTTCAAGAGCATCATGACAAAATATTGAAGAAGTTTTTGTCAAAGCTTAAGCAACATTTGGTAAGTTACTATCATGCCAGGTAAAAGCAATATTAATTAAAATCCTGTTTCACCACAGTTTAATCTCCTCTTTTAGAATACTACTGACTACAGGGAGAGACACCAAGCTCAAACAGGCAAAAGAGCTGTGAAGTTGCTGGGAGTCTTGGCTGAGCTGGGAGGTTGATTGATTAGTTGGGGTTTTGTAGCCAAGACTCATAACCTCAGTACTTTGAATTCTTGGTTCCTGAGAATGTGCAATTTAGGATGGATGGTATTTAGTAAATTCTTGGACATTTAACATCTTTGAAAAGAATTTATCACATCAAGAACCAGAATTCAGTGCCTGTGGGAAAGAAGGACTTTGTACTTAAGTAAATTCCTCTTCAGCCAAGGAGCATTTCTTATTTAAAAAAACCAAACAAACACCTGAGGATTCTTTAGAACTTGGATACAGGAAAGTTTTGAGACATTTCTTTACTTGATTAAAAGATCCTTGGAACAGGGACCATATTTCTGTTATTTTTTCATTCCTGTGTAAAGTGAATTCGGGCTGAACAAAAATTGATCATAGAATCATACAAAATATGAAGATGGAGTATGGAGGAGAAGACGTAATCAGGAGCTTGTGGTCCTTTACAAAAGAGCTGTTGGAGATTGCACAAGAGAAGATAAGATGGAAGGCTGTAATGAAGGCAGTTATAAGCTGCCAAGACATGTGAAACCAGAGAGGGAGAGAGATCATGCCAAATAAATCTGGAGGGGACCCATGAGGTCCCTCAGTACAGCCCCACCTACTTGACGGAGCATCTCAATCTAAATCATTTTAGACAAGGGAGAGGCAACCCCCCAGTATGCATGCCAATTAGCAACACATGGAGATCTTTTCCTAGATGCCAGAAGGCAGGTATGCCAAGGAAATTTAAAAATATTTAAATGTTAAAAAAATATATATATATTTTTAAGCTGCTGCTTTGGCCTCTCCGGAGCAGCAACAAGTCCCAGTGCAGTAGCAGGCACGGGGGGCAGGGATGCTGTCTGCGTTCTGCTGACCCCTCTTCCGTGTCTGTGGTGGTGCACGGGGGAACCTGCAACATCAAAGAAGCTGCTGATTCCTGCTGATTTTGCAGATTCCCCCGTGTACCCTCCCCACCCCTAATACTTGCTGCCTGCTCCTGATCAGCCTGAAGGTGAAAACCGCTGTTTTAAATATTTTGCAGTTTTTGCCTCCTGGCTGGTCACCAACAAATAGCGGGGCTGCCAGGGTCCCTCGGCCAATAAGCAGCAAGACCGGTGCCATATTTAAAACCAGCAGCTTTTGCCTCCCCGAGCAGTGGGGCCCCTCCACCAAGCAACAGTGGGGGGCGCATAGGGGAACCTTCAACATTAAAGAAGCCGCTGCACAGCCCCTTAGTTAATTTGGTAGGTCCCTAATCAGGGGTGGTGCTAGGGGGGTTATAGCCACCCCAAAATTCACCCTAGCCCCCCTGTAGCCACCCCTCCCAGCACTGCCCCTCACCCCCTGGCAACAGAAGAGAGTTAAGAGCCATAGCTCCAAGGCAGTAACAAGCTGTCAGCCACTTACCTGGAGCAAGCAGGAATAGGATAAGGTGCTGGATAGATCCCTGGAGTTCTGCACCGTCTTTAAGTGGTGGCAGTGGTAGAGCTAATGAGAAATCACTAGACGCAGTTGAAAGCTAGAGTCATGTGACCAGGAGGGGATGGGATTGAGGGGTGACCCTGTAAATGTGCTCAGATGGGACTGAGTCTGGTGCCACCCAGCAGGGAGAAAGCTGGGTGGAAAGGAGGGAAGCTAGGGAAAGACGAACCTTGGCATAGAGAGAGGTACAGAAGTGGGAAGGGCCCTGGAAAAGGCAGTTAAGTGGGAGAGATCCAAGGGAAGGGCTGGGATTATCTAGTTGAGGATGGTCCTGGTTTGAGCAGGGAGTTGGACTAGATGACTTCCTGAGGTCCCTTTCAAACCTTTCTGTGATTCTCTGATAAGGGCATACCCCAGGTCAGCTAAACACTGAAATGCCAGCTGTGAGACGTGGTGTCTAGTAAAGGAGGCTACTAGGGATGCCCTGAAGACTGTGCTGGCGTGTGTTGCATTACATAAAATAAAGGGGAACTGATGGCAGATGTGTGAGCCCAGGGGTTACCCTAGATATAGGGCCAGGGCCCTGGTGCATGGTGCTGAGGGCCAGAATGCTGGTAGGGGAGGGAGAAGCATGCCCCAGATGACTGTGCTGAAGGTGAAGCAACCCAAAGGACTGTGCTGGGGGCACACCCTGTGAACTGTGCTGGGGGGATACCCCAGATAACTGTGCGAGGGTGGGTGAATAGTTCAGAGGTCTGTGTTGGGGGCACACCTTAAGAACAGTGCTAAGCAGGAGGTATGCCCCGGATGACTGTGCTGGGGGCAGAGAAGCGTTGAGGACTATGCTAGGAGGGGAAAGAACCTAAAGGGGCTACTCTGGCTTCTAAAGGCAGCCTCCCAGATTTATCATAACATTTAGCACCGAAGCTAGCACAGAGACCAGAGAGCAAAGCAGACAAATCTGACCGCTTGGGGAGTCAGACTCCGGGGTCAGAGCCCCAGTCCTGTTAAACAAGGGTGTGTGTATATAGCACTGTAAACATACTATCTGTCCATAGCCCATCTTGCACTTAAAAAATGTTCATGATAGATGTTTCTGACTCACTTGATGTAATCTTTTCCAGTGTTTAATCACCCTCATAATTAAAGTTCTCCATATGTAACCTAAAACTTGTTGCAGTATCAATAAGCAGTGTCCCCTGTCTGCATAGAACACCTGCTTGCTGTTTCCTGTGATAAAAATCTTTTTTGTATTTGGAGACTGTAATCAAATCCCTTCTTATTCTTCTCTTGTCTGGACCAAATAGTCCTAGGTTTTCCAACTTTTTCTCATGTCATATTTTCTAGATTTCTAATGATTTTTGCTGTGTTCCTCTGGACTCTTTCCAGTTTGTTCATGTCTTTGAAGTGCAGTGTCCAAGACAGGACAGAGCACTCCAAGTGAAGCCTAATGCTAAGTAGAGTGAAAAAGTGACTTCTGATGACTTGCCTATCATCCTCCTAAATGATTAGATTTTTTGCGGTGATATTATGCTGTTGACTCATTCAGCTTGTAGTCTATAACTAGTCATAGCTCATTGTGGATTTGACTGTTCCATCATAAGTATAGTACTTTGCACTTTCTCCTTACTGAACTTAATTCAATTCATCTCTGACTGTTTTTCCAATTTATCAAGGTTATTTTGAACATTGATCCTGTCCTCATAAGTGTCTGCTTACCCCATCCAGCTTAGGGTTTCCTGCAATTTACTACATGCACATTTACATATTTTAATAGAAATATTATGTAAATTCAGACAGTGGTGGGCACTGGTTCTGCAAGAATCAATTAGATCTTAATACTGCACACTCAAGTTTGATCTATATTTTTTAAAACATGCTGAGACTTATTCAGGCTAGTGGGCGAAGTATAATAACGCAAAACTCCTTCATTATGTTAAAAGATCAATCCAAAGTCATGGGTGTATGTTGTATATTTATAAACTTCTTTGTAGGGATGACAGATTCTTTAGGTCTGCAGTTCTTGAAACTGAAGTTGTGGATTCAATTTACCTGGCAAGTAAAGGGACTAGATCAGTGATTATCAGCCAGGGTGTTATAGCACCCTTAGGTACCCTGAGATCCTGTTAAGAGTGCCACATAGTATTTGTCCTATAGGTGTGCAGTCACCTCCATGTAATTTGCATGATAAAACCAGAGATTGCAGGATAAACCTGTAGTGTGAAAAACATTCTGACCTACTGAGGGTCTTTCTGAGTTGTCTGCAGCAGAAGAATTGCTTTCTTATTTCTCTGTAGTCAAAAATGAGTGCAAGCTAAGAGCTAGCACTTTCTGATGGGTGTCTTCAGTCTAATGAGAGGTGTCCCAAGTCTAAAAAGGTTGAGAACACTGGGTTAGACTATGGGGCAGATCTGCTTTGTTTTAAATTTTGGAGGGTTTCATTTTTTCAGGCACAAATTGTATAATACTTTGGGATAGATTCAGCCGTTACAGTGGAGAACACTTGCATACACTTGGGATTTAGTTTATGAATAAATGCTTTAAATACATTGAAATAAATAAGACAGCATTCAGGTAAGACAAATCTAGGTGACAAAAACTCCTGGTGAGCTGTTGTTCTGTTGATATGGTATTACTCATGGAAATTACACTGCTTATAGCTGCTTGGTTTTTTAATCTTGAGAAAGATCTGCAGATAGTTGGCTAATTAAGTAAATAAGACACCTAATCTATATTATCCCAAAGAGCAATGACTTCCTGATGGAGTTTCTGGCCAGTTTGACACAGGATTAGCTGAAATCTCAACAAAGGAGTTTTTTTTAATTCTGTCAGGAGAGATGCTTGTCTTTGGAAAAACAAGCATAGTGCCTTTGATTTTAATGGCTCTACATAAGGTTACAGCAGCTGAGGGTCTGTCCTGCTGTACTTGATTTACTAGATTGTTGCTTAGTCTGTTATACTAGGAAATCCCTGAACAAAACCCATCTCTTCTAAAACTGCTTCAGATGTGATGTATTAGAAGTTAATTTTTATGATTACTCGCTATGGATATACTACATGTTACTTATAGTACCTGCAAGTAAGTATGTTCAAATAGAAGTTGTGGGTTACAACGTTTCATTTATCACATAATCTGAAAATGGGTATAAAATTAACGTGCTGTTATTCCTGTCTGTCTCGCACTACTTCTTTGTATTTATTTATTTCGCCATTGGATTGGATAGGTCACCATCCCCAAAAGAGCCTCAGTGCAGCTTACAATAAAAACTAGAATCATTATAAAGATGGATGAAAATATTAAAATAATACGTAATAGAGCAAATGCCAGTGAGTTTAACTGTTCTGTCACAGGGTTACAGGCTTGAATCCAGAGAAGAGCATTCATAGTTTTAAATTTCCAGTGCTCTACCTCTTATAAAATGTGGTTGTATATTCAATACAGTATCTTAAAATGAGCAAGCAGCTACAATGCTGGTTGCATGAAACTGATGTTTCTTATACACTAGTGTGCGTTGGCCCAGGATTAACTAGTACAGTGACAGTGGCCTGGGGCAGAATGGCAAAATCTGTAGAAGTGTGTGACAGGTTGCATGGTGATCATGTCACTTTGAAGAGAGGCTGCCTGGAAGGCACCCTGCAGGTGTGGCAGGAGACTAATTACGGGACAGGTTACTTGGTGAGCCTGCCACTATGGGAGGAAAGGCAGCCTGGAAACCAGCTGGCAGGTGTGGCACAGAGCTGATTAACCAGGAGGTAAACCCAAACCCAGAGCTGGACAGTTAGGGCTGACTGCTGCAGGAAGCTGCCTCCTGGCAGGAGGGCTGCGTCAGAGCTCTGGAGCACAGCTGAGTTGGGGTAAGCAAGATAGAGCCCAGAAATGGGGCAGGCCTGAGCCTGGGAGCAGGGCAAGCCAGGGAGAAGAAGGACCTTGGCATGGATGGATCTAGAATAGATGAGCATGGCCGAGGCAAGGCTTTGGAAGCCACAGGCCTGAGGGGACCCAGAGGTTCTAGGTGGAAGCAGGCTTTGGAGGTGATAAGCCTGGGGAAAGAGGCGAGGGGCCCATAGCCCAGAAGGAGCTGTGTGTGGAGAGGAAGGACATCAGTTAGTGATAATCATGGATCTAGATTTTCTGTCTGCTGTGGAAAAACACAGATTTTCTCTTTAAAGGAGAAAAACGCAGGAAACGGTAGGTTTCCTCTTGCAGGCTGCCAGAGTCCCAGCCTTCAAGGGGCTGCCTGGGGCTGGGGGGAGTGGGAGGAAGCTGATTGGATGCAGGGGCCATGTGCACACATACATGTGGCCAGCAATACAGCAAAGCAGCATGGTGGAAAGCAGCTCCCACACCTGCCTGCAGGAAAGTCTGTGGGGATGAGGGGCTTATTGCGGTGTCAGCAGCAACTTGCAGCAAGTCCTCGTGGTGGGGGAGGGAGCGGGGCAGGTTTAGCAGCTGGGGCTGTGGATGCTGCCTGGCTGGGGCAGTGCCCAGGGCAGGAATGTGTGGCTGCAGAGCGGGACAGAGCTACAGACGATTCATCTAGGGAGAGGGAGGGGCTGGCAAGGAGGCCAGCTTCCCACTGCCGTGTGCTCACCAGGGAGGGGTCAGGCACCATAAGCAACACATCAGGGAGGCATGAGGGTGCATATGTGGCCCCCCCCTGATTTCTGCACCCACAGCAGGGCAGAAGGCTGCAGCCTGACCAGGCTGGTGCCAGGCAGCAGCTGTTGCTGCAGCCCAGTGGGCAGGTCATGTCATGAGCAGGCAGAACGGGGTGGCAAAGCTCACTGCTGCTGCCTGCACCAGGACCCCCATGACAGTCACACTGTCATGGACTAATGCTGTACCACCAGCAGCGTGAAGAGTAATGGATTGGAGGGGTGGGGAGGAGTGCTGTCACATCCTTCTGCTGCTTGCTGGTATGGCCAAGCTGCAGCTCTGTGCCCCACTGTGCGCACACAAATCTGGGGGGGCACATTCCCCATTTCTCTCCCCCACCAATGTCGCCTATGGTGTTGCCTATGATTGAGCATATGGCAAGAATGTGATATTCCCCCCCTTTCTCCACCCCCTTCCCCAGCTCCACACACTGAGGGTAGGGGGAAGTGGGTTGGGAGTGGGGGTCACCAGCAGGGCTGGAGGCGGTGGAGGGCTGAGGGTGTGAGGGACACTGGTGGGGATGGGTGGCTGCAAGCTGGGAGTGGGGGCACCAGCGGGTCCAGGGGGCTGCAGGTTGGGAGTGAGGGGCACTGGCA